AAAAAGTAGAATTGAAAATCAATCAGAAAAAAGAAGAATACCGATACTATCAAGAGTCAATAGGTTGGTTTGATAGTTTTTGATATTCAAACATAGAATCTAATACTTGCCAAAGGCAAGAACCTTGTGGATAATCATTATCAACTAAATTAACCAGAAAATAAGTATTGGCTATTTTATCAATAATTGCATGTGAACGTGATTCTGGTTCATATAATTTACCCCAACGTTCAGTCCATAAACTAAAAGCTTCATCCTATATTGATTGAAATAAAATAAATAATTAGATTGTGAAATATTTTCTTTTTTTTTGTATTTCTCTAAATTACCTTCCAAATCATAAAACTAACAGGATCAACAACAGTTGGTTGAATAATTTCACGACCAGCAAAAACACCCCATGTTACAGCAATTGGTTGTTCATCATCTGCATTTGTTTCATTAATTCCGCCCTATAAAAATGAATATTATTAGAAAACTTTTTAAAAAAGTAGAAAACTATTCTTACTGATTTATTCAAAAAATGATAATTAACGTTGGGAAATTTTTTTAATACAGCTTGTAATGCTGGAATATTATCTGCACTTGTAAAAAATTCCAAATATGCCTAATCAAATTTTGTTCATTATGAATTTAATAATACATAAGATTACAAAAATGTATTGTTACCTTTTGATAAACATAACCATTTGGTGTACCCCAACCAACAATTGGATCTGAGCTTGGTTTTCCATTAACAGCTGGTTGAGAATTAATTGTTAAAATTCCTCGTTTATTAAAATCAACTAAATTATTTTTAATTAATGTTGTTTCTGATGATAATTCTTCATCTGTCCATGGAAAATGACGAACAACTTTATTTTGATGATTTTTTTCACCTCCAATATAACATGCAAACATTTGCCAAACATCCTGTTCACATGTTAATTCACGTCCCCATTCATCAAGTAATTCATCACGTGTTGCATCGATTTTCATATAAAATAAATGATAATCAGCTAATACACCGAATGATGGTGCTGATGATAAACCCCAACGTCCATTTGGAAATTCATTCCAATTTGATGTACGATGAACATAAGATTTTGGTCTTATACTCCAAAATATTGGTCGAACATTTTCTTTTGAACGGGCATGACTATAGGAAGTTTTTTTCCATGGTAAAGCACGTAATGGTTGATCTTCTAACCAAAGACCAAGTCTTTTTAATATTTCAATTGTTGCAAATTCTCGATTCAATGTATAAAAATGAAGACCATTTACTTTACCAGAATCTAATAAGGTACGACATAAATCAAGACATGCTTGAACACCAAAATTACGTATAGCTTCATCATTTTCTTTTATTGGTTCAATACAAGCTAGAATTTCTTTAGGTACATCTAGTTTAGCTAATCGAACAATATTACGAAGACTTGCATAACCCTAAAATCATAATTTTTTTCAATTCAGAAACAAAAAATATTCAAATTTCTTACTTGGATAGGCAATATTCCAGGAATAATCGGACATGTAATTCCAATGGCCCGACAATCAGATTCAAATTTAATAAATGTTTCTGGTTGAAAGAAAAGTTGTGTTATAATAAAATCAGCTCCACAATCAACTTTTTCTTTTAAATGAGCTATATCATCTTCATATGATGTTGAATCCGGATGTCCTTGTGGATAACCTTAATCAAAAAATAAAACAAAAAAAAAGCCAATCCTCAAAAAAAACAAAACCATATCAATTCAATTTACCAGCAACACAAATTATAAAATAATCTCCAAAGTGTTGTCGAATAAATCTAACTAAATCAATTGCATAACGAAAATCACTCTTTGCTGGATCCCAATCTTCACCTACTGGTGGATCTAAAATAAATTTTAAAATTAAATACGATTAACATATTTCAATAAAATTGACCTCCACGTAATGCTAATAAATTTCTAATACCAAAATCTTTTGCTTTATAGAGATATTCAAGCATAGCTGCTTTTGTAGCACCATGACATGTTAAATGTAACATTGTATCGATTCCACAATAATTTAACATTGTATTTGCGATCATCATTGAGCTTGTTTCTTTATTACTAGCTGGATCACCTGCTGGATGCCATGTTATATCACAAAACAATGGTTGACCAGCTGCCATACGATCAAAACTAAAATAAACAGGAAAATTTTATTCAGAACAATAAAATATAAGAAACAAATTTACCATCCAATAAGATTGGCAGCACCACTGGCTGTACGTGGTGGAAAAAATTCAAGTGAATACCAACGATCATTATCGGCAATACGTTTTAAAATTTTGTCTATTAAACTTACATATTTTACCGGTTGAAGGGAACAACCTCTTGCACCTAAATTGGCACCTTCACTTTCAATACGTTTAAATATATTTGCATTATGCATTGATTCAAGATTTATCTCATTGTCATACATTTTGTGAGTATCAGGAACAGTCTGATTATCATCAAGTGTGAATTCCATATACGCTTGAAAGAATCGTACTAATGTGTTTTTGTTTGTAAAAAACTTTGCTGTGCAATTTTAAATATTGATAGAAATATTGACCTTAATGCTTTTTCTTTCTATATATATTCGACTTTGCTATCGCACTTCAAACGCGTGATATTGGTGATAGTCTAAAGAAAGAGAAAAAGAGCAATGATTCAAGTAAAATAATGATCGAAAAAAACCAACTTTGTGCAAAAAAGAGGTGCAGTGTTTCTATTTTCGTTTGTCACACTTCTATTAAATTATCGCACCCTTATACTTGTATATAATAACAGGTTTACAACGAATATATTTCAATAACTGCACTACTAAAGAACGAAAAACAGCTCTAACTGGACAAGAAATATGTCCATTGAAATATTGAAATAAATTTCAATGGAGGTCGCCATGAAACATTCTACTTTTTTTTTCAATCAGGTCCATGTAAAAACAATGCTTTTGCCTAGATTAGGATAAGAAAATGATGTATTTTGAAAACGAAAAAGTTTTTTATACAACGAAAAAATAAAACATGTTTTATCAAAGAGCAAACCATAAGTGTAACTGTGAAGCGACCTATTATTCTTGATAATATATATCTTGTAAGTGTGAGAAACAGCAGACGACAAAAAAAGTACATTCAGGTGATATAAATAACGTCTCACAAAAAAAAATCGGTGTAAATGTACCAAGATCAACAAGTACGATAGCAATTGACGAAATCCCACTTCCTATTTTGTTCTATTTATTTATATAACCAGTATGAATTGAGTATATATTTGATTCATATTGAGAAAAGTTTAGTGTTTCAAAAGAAAATTATCTCTGGCAATAAATGATATATGTGATATAGTAATGATTCATTTTTGATATAAATTTTAACAGAACATTAAAAAGATAAAGCATCCTTCGAGTTTTTACTAGAAAAACAAACGGTTCGAAGTTTTGTTCAAGTAATATTTGTGTATACAATGAGCATTAACATGGACATTTGGTGACATATGAAAGTAATCTTTTTTTTCAATTTGCAATAATGTTCAATATACTTTGATCAATGGCTGACTTTTTGATTAAAAAGAGTTATTTTAACTCATTAGTCTTTGGAAAAACTCCAGGCCTAAAAAATGGTCAAGTTTCTCTCATCTTGAAGGATAAAATATTTTTCTAGACAAACTAGAAAGACCTATGGAATTAATCGTAAGGTTATTACTCTATCTTTCTATATGAAAAACTTTATTCTAACAATTTTCCTGTTGAAAAAAGTATGCATGCTTTCTCAACTAAGGGTTTTCTAAAAACTCATATTCAGTAATCGATACGCATACAACTTAACAGGATCCAATTTTCCAAAGTTATCTTTATCAATTTTTGGCATCAGTTTTTTTCAAAAATCTCGGAAAAAATAGGAATGATTCTATACAAGAAAATTCATTTTTCTCAAGAATCAAGTCAAAAGTAAAAAACCAGGCTCTATTAAGTCATCGAGCGCAAGTTTCTCTTCAGTTCTATCTATTCACATGCATACCAATACGTGCCAACAGCTGAAATAGACAAATCATGAAAATAAGTAAGGAATGAGTTGAGTATCGACGTGAAAGAATGCAGTTGAAGAAAGAGAAGTGTATGCATACCTATAAGAACACGAGTCCATTTGTTCGAGGGCTTATAATGATTACTATTTCATACATTTCTTCTAGATACTTCACTAGGGAAAATCTTGCGAAAAGTTTAAAAAGCAACAATAACTAACATTTTTTGAAAACTCATTTTTATTAACTCTAGCATCATCAGTAAATCTAGCGTAAAACGTTGAAAAGCATTGAAATTTCAGTGAATAAGACTTTCTTCGAAAGTAGATAAAGAAGGTTATTCAATCACATGAAAATCTCGAAATCAATTTTTTTTTTGACGGGAAGGGAAGCTTCAGAGAGAAACAAGGACATATTTGAAATCAGCAAGAAAAAACTGGACAGCATGATGTACCACTTGTTATTCTTCAAAATGAACATTTCTTCAACACAAGTTTAGGGTTAAAGTCTCTTCATACATTTTATATTGAATATCTTTCTTAACGAATTTCGCTTTTTTTGTTGAGTACTGGAAATGAATATTTGTATGAAAAATAATGCTTTTGTGACAGAGAAAAAGTCATATTTATGTATTATATAGAAACTACTTACACACTCAAAACTCGATAATGTTCGTCTTACACATGAATAGATTCATAAAAAATAGAAAATTACATATTTTTCGACGATGTATACTCATTTCTCATGTATCCATTCAAAAGCGAACGTGTTTTGCTGTGCGCTACCATGTTGGTTTACCAAAAAAAAAGATTTTTGTCAGCGTAACTCATGTCCCTATCTAATGGGATAATAAATCGATGTGAATAACGAACGATTTGCCTGGATAAGCGAAGAAAAAGTGTGTATTTATAATTGTATCGTGATTTTAGCTATTAAAAGTTAGTTGTTCGATCTGTTTTCTCGTATTTAATCAGATAAAATTTATTGATGCCAAGACGACATTATTTACAGAACAAAACTACTGGAAAAAAGTACCCTGTCCATAGTTTACGACGTTCAACTTGTCTTCCTAAAGATGAAAAATTACAAAGAAAGTTTAATGATCATATTCAGTTGAGTGCTTCAGATCTTCCACATAAAGTTGATCTTCGTTCAAAAATGACGCCTAATAAACATCAAGGAGACACGAATAGTTGGTATGTATAAAATATTCGATTTTCAATTATGATATCTACGAAATTTCTATTAATTTAGTGCAGCGACTGCTTTTGCAGGTAGATATAAATGTCTTTTGAAAATTTCATAAATGTTTGATTATAGGAGCTCTTGAATATTTATTGAAAAAAAGTAGTAGCATGAACATTGATATAAGTCGATTATTCGTTTATTACAATGCTCGTATTAAAGATAACGGACCCAACAAAAATGTCAAAGATGAAGGTAGTATTGTAACAGGTGCTCTAGAAGCATTAAAAGAATTTGGTGTATGTGAGGAATCAATTTGACCATATGATATTCAACAAAAAAATAAGCGTCCAAATGAAAAAGCACACAAAGCAGCCCAAAATAAAAAGATAGTTGATGCATTACAAATTGATGTAGATTTAAATGAGATGAAAACATGTCTTGCGCAAGATTATTCATTTGCATTTGGCTTATTATTATTTCAATCCTTCGATAAAGGACGTAAAAATGGTGTTATACCAACGCCAAAACCAGAAGAAGCAAGTCGAAAGACACATGATGGTTTGGACTATATTTGAATAGAAAAAATTGACATTTAAAATTTATCATTTTAGACATGCAATGCTAATTGTAGGTTATAGTGACCATTCGAAAGCATTTATCGTTCGAAAATCCTGGAGAGAAGATTGGTTAAATAAGAACCTTATAGAAAGAAATATGTATGTTTCATTTCATGTGATGGTGATGAAGGATATTGCTATATTCCATATGATTATATGGCTAGTCCAGATCTATCTTTTCAAGTATACGCTGTTCGTCAAGCGGAAACAGATGATATCGGTCATGAATATTAGATTAAGGATGATTCAATTAATTATCATCCTGATATTATTGATGAGAACGATGATGATGATTGTGACATTATAGAAGAAGAAGTAGAAGAACCAGAAGAGCCAGAAGAACTGACAGAACAAAAAAAAACAAGAAGAACTACAAGTGGCAATACGAACCAGGAGAACAACAAATGCAATAGGACCAGGAGAACAACAAATGCAAGAAGAAGAAGACTTACAAGAGGAAGATGATCCACAAGAACAAGAAGAACAATTATAAGGACAAAAACAATAACAGCAACAAGAAACACACGAAGAGAAAAGCGTTCAAGACGACGAGTTATATAGTTTTGAGGAATAGAACAATAATAGAAATAAAAAACCGCGAGATTTTGTGTTATTGACTTTAATCATGTGCTCATAATAAAAACAAATTTTGCTTGAGGAAATCTTTTTTCTCATGATTTCACTGTAATATCTGCGGAACTCTCAATGAAACGTTACCAAGTGTTCAACCTCTGTATATTACAGAAGCTAAATAGTTTACGGAGAATAGAGTCTCTTCTAATAAGAAGACAATAGTTTACTATAAAAATAGTGTGCCAAGATTTAGCTGTTGTAATGTTTTAATGATGATCAGCAGATTTAGCACTTTAGTTATCAATATAAAAGAAAGAAAAAAGCCTCGTTAGAAAGACATCGTAGCTATTCGTTATTGATCCAATTTTATAGATTTCTACGAGATAGCTATAAATGTTCTGTAAGGTATGGTAGTCTTTGAAACCATACGTAATGCACAGCCAACATCGTATTCGATCCATTGCTAGTACGTATCACTTTGTTCCTTCGCACTTCGTTCAGTATTTCGGCACACATAACATCTTCAAAGAGTCTGACTGGTTGTATTCAAAGGAATTAGACAAGATAAATATCTGACTCAATGATTTGCTAAATATGAGTTCTGTTATATAACTGCACTGTTCAGTGAGGTCTTGCATAAGAAAAAAGAAAAAAAGATAAGGATATGCACAACAAACTGACTGTTTCCTATGCATGTTCGCTTTTTAAGGCACGAGTCTGTGACATACCATCATTTCATGATAGCATCATAGGCCTCAGCTTCCTAGTACTTATTTCTCTACACGTCGGCAATAACCAAGGGATTAATTTTTAGCAAATATTGTGAGTTTTTTATCAAGATTTCACTGTAAGGTAACACCTTTTTGATGTATTTTTTCAAAAACTTTTCGCGAAAATGATGGATTATATAATAATTTTGTCTTGTATAGTATGTAATAAAAATACGTCTAGAGCTCCTCTTCTTCGATTGCTGAAACCCGCAGATCACTAGTTATTGTTGTTGCTGAGTTATTGTGCTTACACTAACACTTTTTTAATTTTGGTGTGCACATTAGTATAGATATTGTAAGTTTGAGCTTTTGATGTGGCAAAAGGATGTCATAGTAGCCGTCAATCAATAGGACGTTCGTTTTTTTTTCGATCAAACAAAATTCAAAGCGTATTAAACTTGAAAAATAGAAACTAGATGAATTCTTAGTTTAGGCAAAACTCAACAATATTTGTCTACGTTCACCGAGAGAAAGAGTGTCATGAATAGTAGCTAACTCAACGATTTAATCAATGTACATAGACGGTTAATATGGTGGTTGATTAGAGTCCTGTGTATCAATTCAAATACTCTTGGGAGACAGGAAAAACGGAATTTTCGAAATTCATAACTGGTTTCCAAGACTCCAAAGCTGACGCGTCGAAACGGAGAGTAAAATCATATGTGCCGCTTTTTATCACCTGTATTATAGATATATTATCATTAGGATAAAAGGAGGTGTAGCGAAGATGTGTTTGATAATACAAATGGTTTTTTTTTAACATTACGATGTTAAATGAATCAAAAGATTTTGTTGAAAAGTAGTTATAAATAAGAACATGGTCAATAGAATAAAGCTTCTGAATGGGCACATCAACAATCAAAATTGTCAAAGTTTTGATCTGTTCATTTATTTGATTTCGTTTTAAAATAGATTATTTAAAACTTCTGACAATACAACATCATTTTATAAAAGTCGGACTTTCAGAGTTCCACCGTTCGGTCACACAAGGACTTGTACTGACAAAACTTTTTCATGTAAAAGATTAATATCACACTACGATATAGTGTGGATGATAGTATTTGTTAATCACGCAAAGTAGAGCTTAGAGAGATAACAAGATTAAGTCCAATGAAAATACTGACTAACCAATTACTGCTGCTTGTTATATTTTACGACTTGTATATCACTCGAGAGAAAATCACGGGAGTTATCGAAATAGCTTTTGTTTGAAAACTCCATTGCTATCCTATTAAAAAGAATTATACAACAAATTTTGAATGGACATTATAATATCTCGATTGAACGATCAAAACTACAGTTTTTTTGTTGTAGATTTTTTTCTCACTTCTTACTCTATCAATAGTTATCCTCTTTAAATTACCTTCAAACTTGAAAATTTTCTAACTGTCTTTTAAACATTCAATACTTCGTCAACACTAGTAGTGGATCCAGGAATTTTTAGTATGCTGGATTCAATCTTCAGAGGATGGGACCCAAATAAAACTTATAGAGATATGATATTGAACTCAAATGGTGAGTTTTTATCGAAAGATTTTTGAAATGGGAGTTTGCGAAAAAAATTAGCATTTTCCTGAGCCCCTCTCAAGAGTTTTCTTTTGCTATTAGGAGTATTCTATATTTTAGAATTTAATAGTAAGCTACATCAAAATTTATCTATAGATTTCAAATTTCATCTAAAAATATACATCTGTTCAAGAGTTATAACGTTTTGAATTTTTGTTACATGCTGTTAAAATTTTAGCAAACATTCAAAAAGTTATAACTCCTGAATGAATGCATATTTTTAGATGAAATCTGAAATCTGTCTATGAATTTTGATGTAGCTTACTATTAAATTCTAAAAAATAGAATACTACTAATAGTAAAAGAAAACTCTTAAGAGGGGTTCAGGAAAATGCTAATTTTTTTCGCAAACTCCCATTTCAAAAATCTTTCGATAAAAGCTCAATATTTGAGTTCAATATCATACCTATATAAGTTTCATCTGGGTTCCATGCTCTGAAGATTAAATTCAGCATACTAAAAAACCCTAGATCCGCCACTAGTCAACATGTAACAAAAAAATTATTCGTATAATTTCCTAATCATGTATGATAGAAAGATTTAGTTTCATGATACAACATGTTGTGAATTATTTAGGTTCAATACAATCCTTCTAGGAATCATATAAGATAATGATGAGATAAAATGAAAAGTGATGTTTTCATCAATAAAGTTGTATATTGCGTTGTCCAAAATATTTACTTCGTCAGAATCTTCTTTCAAAAGAAAAAAAAGAAAAAAAAATTTCAAATAAAATATCTGAACAAGATTTAAATATTTCCATCTGTTAAAGGTCTTCAAAATTGAATCATTAATACTAAAAGTTGAATAGAAAAATATTTACAATTATTACCAGTATTATATTGTAAAATAATTCAACGTCACCAAAAAATTGATTTAATTAAACTTTTTTAAATACTTTTTAATCAATCAACAGACATAAAACAGAGATAAAAAAACAACAAAAGAAAGAAACAATATTTTCGCTTATTATTTATTATTTTTATGTTTCAGTACAGTTTTATATGTTAAACAATTAGATTAAATTAATTTTTGGAACCTAGATCAAGTTGATGAATCTGATTATGAATGTTGTTTAAATAGTTATTAACGAAAAAGAAATGCAACTTAAAATATACAAGATAATGCTAAAGACCAAAATGAATATTTTTATTTGTTGTATCATTAATTGTATGAATTACTTAATTTAATAAATGATTTATCATTACGTGAATATTCAATATAGTGTATTCATTGATTTCTTAAACACACTCCATCATATCAATCATATCTTCTTATTTAATGATTTACAATTTTAAAACAGCCAACAATATCAATTAATCTTTAACATGAATTTATTTGACATACTCTCTAAGAAAAAGTGTTACACTGAACCTTCTATGGTTTTAGAGAAGATCCTGAACCTTTTTAGGTTCTAGATTTGAGTACCATTTTCTGAATCTTTTCTTTGAGTTCTAGTCAGCAAGTTAAGAGCTCCTCAAGGTTCCAAAATTTCCGACTAAAACCTTTTCCAGTTCTAGCGGGCATGTATAAAACTGAACAAGATCCTGAAAAAGGTATTGAAAAAAAAGGTTCAGTATGACACTTTTTTTATATAGTTATCTATAACATTTTTCGTCATTTTGAAATTCAAATGTATTCTGTTGTCTCATAATATACAGATACATTTCAACGAAGAACAACCAGACTTCGTCTCGATCCTTAACAGTTATGAATGGTTCTATGAGGCGCAGTGGCCCTTTAGTTAGACTTCTAGAATATGCTCAAGTCTCCTTGTAAGCGAAACTCAATCATTTGTAGACAGGTACGGGGGAGGGAGGGGAGGGCAGAATCAGTTCCATTTCGTTATATCCCTAAAGTATCGTATTGCAGATTTTAGAACTTGTTTTCGACAACAATATGAATTTCGATCATAGTGTAAATCTCTTTAGAAATAGCATTAAATAATAAAAAGGATCAAGTAATTTTCTAGAAGCACTGTAAAATTCTCAAAGAAGACAATGTAATTTTCGTTCAATTTAGTTTTCTTAAGATTAAAAAACGTCTTCAGAAAACAAATAGCCGCTTGGTTAAATCAGTGTTGTAATGAGATTACAACTCAGACGGTAATTCAAATATTCATCAACAGACGTTTTTTCTTCTATTTGTTAGATTCGAACATAGGACGTCGTTCCTTGTTCTTTTATTTTCTATGACTGAAACCATTCATTCAAATTCTTTTGTACGTTGTACTTCAGTATATTTTATTTCAAAATTTGTTATACTGAAATATCTATAACATCTTGCTCTTCAACTATATCACGAAAGAGAACATTAAAAACTTGATTATAAAAATTTGGATAGAAAGTACAAGCACGATGACAATCAGGTGTAAAATTAATTTCTAATAATTTTGGTTGTACTTTATTATCAAGCATTTCAAGCATTAAATCAGCTGCATATAAGGCTCGTGATGATAAACATGATGCAATACCAAATGGTGGTTCTTCTATCGTTGCACATTGAAATGCTTCTCTAAACATTTGAAATATACGTTTTTCAACAATTGACCATGTTTCATTATTTTGACCATATTGTTCATCATACATTGATATAAATGTTTGACAATTCATTTGTCGTAAAAATGCATTTGGTCGATAATTCATAACAGTAAAATGTTTTTCATAATCATCTAATTCATCCATTGAAAATGGCTTATTTGCAAAACGAAGCCAAAAAATTTTATGAACATATAATTTTAATGGCCGTATACTACGTAAAAGTAGAACATAACGAACATCAAATTTAACATGTTGATTTTCCATCTCAGGTATTCTTAATAGAACAGGTGAAGAAATATATTTGCATGCTATTTTTGGACCTGATTCAGGTAAACGAATGATCATATCAAATGTATTTGTTACTGACATATCAATTGAACGTGTTAAATTTATTGGTTTTATAATCCATGTATTATCAAGTTGTTGATCTTCACGATACTAATAATTGAAAACAAAGATGATAAATAAAAGAAAAAACAATGTGAACGATAACTGAAAAAATTACTTGAAAATAAATAGCAAATTGTGATAATTCATAAGTGAGATTAAATGTTGTTGCTAGCCATGCAGGACTTCCGTGTGAATCAATATATGCATCATTACCAGATGATAATGATGATGATGATCTAAAAGAATTTAGGGATATTGAGACATTACAGGAATAAATAGAAAGCAGCGAGTTTATGTTGTTGTAGACTCAGCCGAGTCCAGATCCAATTTTTTTTCTATCAATATCCGGCACCGTTGGTGCACATAATTAAGCAAGGCATCAAGATTTTAACTATTTATTGGTTGCTCTCGGAAGGAAAGTCAATGTACAGTTATTTCTTATTGTTCACTTTCCAATCACACGTTGCATAATAAATTAAAAGCTTTCACATAGTTGAAAAGAACATGTGTTTTAACAAAAAAGAAAACTGAACAATTAATTGATAAACAAAACTCATCAAACTAACAGTAACATCAAAATGTTCTGCTGTATTTATTGAAACAAGATCAAGCAGGAATAAAGTCTATGCGATGAATGTAGAGAACTGCAAGTCGACGTTTTTGGTGGATTCAGACTTAGATCCAGTCAGACTTGAGTCTGAAAGAACTCACAGTTCTCTAATGACAATGTATAATAATCACGTTTTAAATCGAAAATATTCTCAATAAACGTTTTTGCTAAATAATAAACTAAATTTTATCAAATGTGAAACTAAATGTTCAATTTATTGATAAATGACTTATAAAATTTTTATCAAAGAGTTGCCATACAGTCCAAGCTTTTAATTCAAAATTAAAAGTACTAGTTTCTTTGAATTATTACATTTGTTAAATGTTTTAATATTAATCAATAAGGGATAAATTGTTAACAATCGAAAAAAAAAAACTATAATAAATATCAAAATACAACTATTGTAAATGGTATAGAATTATTTTCTATGATTGACTCATGATGAAAATAAGTCATATTTTATTTGAAAGTTAACAAAAAAAATTTTGATTCAATAAATATCTATGAAAAATATTCAATTTATAATATTGTAAAACAGGGTTCGACTTGAGTCGGGCTGCAAAAAAATTGCTCATTGCTGAGCTTCACATAAGATATATAGCAATTCTAGATAAGATAATGATTTCATTATTTTTAGTTTTGAAAGAGTTTATTTAGATCATCAAAATAGAAACTTAATCTCATCTGTATTAGTTAAAAACTATTTTTAACCTTGAATCGGATCTCGAAATATTGACTCATATCAGAAACTGTTGTGAAATATGAGCTTACAAATCATATTGAAATTCGACTCACTTAATATATGTATCAAAGAAAGAAAACAACACTAATCTTATTACACGAGATGACTATAATATAAATATCTCAATTTCATTTTAAATAATTTATCAAATCTTTACTTCTTACAAAATCTAAGTTATATTTCTATTAAAAATACATTCATCACCAATTAGTACACACATCATAATATTAAGTAAAATCGATTCTGTCGTTTCGAGTTTAAACATGGTCTTAATTTCGGCTAAATTTAATTGGATTTACTCTCTGTTAGAATATCATCTTACATTGAAAAACTATTTAGTAAATAAATGCTCTCTATTTTCTTAATAAATAACTTCTTAGATATCAAATATCCATTCAATGTCCTTTGAGACATAATAAAAATATATAGATCTCACTTACCCATATAATGATTTCCATCGTCTTGCAGTAAGTGCTAATAATTCTTTGTTCGTAACGATATTTTCAAGTGGAAATTGATTAATTAATTTATTACCTAATGTTTCATGACGAAAATCTTTAAGTTGTTTCATAACAAATAAAATATTTGCTTGATCAGGATTGTCAATTAATTGATAATGTTTATCAGTTAAATATTGCTTAACTAAATCATGATCTGTATAAACTTTCCAAATATGATCATTATCAATTTTTATTGATTTATTCATAATAGGATTTTTATCATATAAATCATTTTGATGACATTTTTCATAGATTTCAAGATTATTTTCAAGTCGTTTATTAAATATTTCCAGATTATTTTCTATCACTAAACTGCGAAGAAATGTTTTACGATCATTTAAATGTTGCCATGGTAATAATCGAACACGATGATCCAATGTATCTTTATTATCGTAGATAAAATTACGAAAAATTTCCGCATATCGTTGATCAATACGAACAATTGGATAGAGAATTGTAAACATTGTTTGACTAGGTGCAAAGAAGAATGATGTACAACAAACATTCGCATGTTTAGTAGAATGCCGTATTGATGAACCCAATTCGTCCATTATGTACCTATATAGATACAGATATGCTTAGTTTATTGCAAGGATGTGATTACAAACGAGGAACTCTTAAGATTTATTTTAACTATTAGACTTGCAATGGTTTATGACGTATGCTAGTATCAGTCAAATTGAATCGCTAAATCCTTATTTTTATTCTTTTCTATACTAAATGTTGAAGCAAATAGTTAGAAAATAAAAAAAAAAAAAACAAATTTTCAAAGTTGTTGTAAATGGATGCCAAAACCTTTCGATGAATTTTTGAAAAGACTTCTTAATTTACGATTAGAGAAGTTTTGAAATGAAAGAAGAGAAAACCATAGTAAAAACCTATTGACAAGAAACCAGACGCTAACATTTTTGAAAACCGATTTAAGACGTGAAATATTTTTAAAAATCAAAAATACCTATTTCTGTGTTGCAGTGACTCAGATGATCGGCTTACTACTCTACATAAATCATGTTATTTCCGTCGTTGAATCTCCTGTATAACTTTGAACGTAAACAACAATATTTTAGTCACTGAGAAAGAATTTGATTTGTTAATAATTGGTGTTATTTGAAACGAAGCTATTATTTTTTTGGATTATCTATTTATTCATAACTGTAGATGAAGATAGAACAATACATAAAATATTATTTGAAACACTTCATCGGTTAAATTTTGTTTGGCACGATGTAAAATGGGTTTTGAAGTATATGGATAATAACTTGCACCCCAGTCTCTCAATAGACGGTAATAGATCTCTTAGCAACAGTTCTCCTTGCGTCACGAATAGAGCCTGTCGGGTCCAAAATTTTTCGGCTCGAACTCAATCGAGCCTAAAAGCAACTCGATAGTCTCTAGTCACAGACTGTATATCAATAATGTCTCGTTATACTACATGAACTATTTCCTTATTGCATTCCTGGACGGTGAAGTGAAACGATGGTGAAGATATGTGTCCCAAAATAGATAGAATAAAATAATCTTCTTATGATTAGTAAGAGCAACTACATCATCTTTCATATTTTAATCCTTCAAAGATTGTATTAATATCTTTTAATCTATGTGTTTGTCGCCTTTTTAAAATGTTTAAATATCAATCAAACCTACCAATACGGTTCATATGCTTCTTCACAATCTTGTTGTGGATCAATTTGTGTTGATGTTAATGTATATGTTTGATTATATTTCCACATACGTTGTAAAATAACTTCAATACTATCTTCTTTTGTTTCTGCATCAACATTCATTAATGATGCCATACGTTCATATAAATTTGGTATGTTCATAAGATTACTTCGTGCATCTTTTATTCTATATGTCCAAGCATGATCAATAAGAAATATAGCATTTTCATCATTATTTGGATCTAATACAACATCTTCTAATGTTGATACATAATATCGACGTTCAGGATTATAAATTCTTTCTAAATCATCGTCATCATCATCAACTGGACATAATTGAAAATATGACCCACTATCAAATATTTCATTCTTCATTTTTTCATATAAACGTCGATAGAAATGTTTTGGAATATTATTAACTAAAAGTTGAAATTCATGTGTTTGAAGAAAAGATTCATATTCATCATTATTTGCCATAATCTATAAAGAATTCATTCTCAATGTATAAATCTTTTTTTTTTTTTCGTTTTTTCATTCACAACACAGATAATCCAAATAACCATTTAATAACAATAATGAAAAAGGAAAAAAAAAAGAAATTCTCATGTATGCACGCGCACATAATATTTAATAAAAAAAGAAAAAGGAAATATGTTAAAAAGCAGCGTGCACATAACTGACTTCTTTAATTTATGTCTATTTAATTTCAATAGTATAGAAAGAAAAAAAGAAAAAAATTTGAACATAGTTAATAACACATCAATTAGTGGCCAAATGAGAACAGAAAAAATTTTATGTTGTATACATACTCTTCGACAAACTGTTTGAAAAAAGGAAAAAAAAAAAAGAAAAAAGGAAAAATTCAAAAAAGCAGATCAGTCGTTGTGGACATTGAACTCCATTGTATATTATTTGTCATATCAAAATTCGGTTTTTGCTGTTTTAAAATAGAATGATTTGTTGAATTTTTTGATGATATATCTGAAGACGATAAAAGTTTCTGTCGTGCTAATATAGAATAGGAATTTGTTGTAGAAGAAGTATCTGACGATTTGGATATTGTTAAAGAACCATGTTGAGTACCTAATTCATATTGATCAAGATGAGTCGGACGAAATGTATGTAAAGTACCTATAAAGAAAAATTCAAAGAATTATTTATTGGTGATTTCAAAAATAATAGCTTAGCGAAAATTATGTTATATAGTTTGCTTACAAAAATTGCAAATAAGTAAAATCAGCCAGGATTTTGATCGTAGCTTGTATACATATTTGATTATTAGATTATCATATAAATTTAGTCTTCACTAACAACATAGATCGATTAGTATGTGAGAACCTTGTCATTTTCATCTTTCTTTACTGCAATACTAGGCACTAGATCTGAGCATTGGACAAAGCAAAGAAGCTAGTCCAATATTTGATCTAGTTTCTTTTTCATAATTTCAGAATAATATGCATTGTCATCTAGTGATACTTGATACGTTATCCTGTTCTTAATAGTGTAACCAGAAAATCGTAGGTGCTACGACAGTGCACAAGTTTTTTTTTTCAAAAATCCATCCGAGATAATGTAAATGATGAATATTATTGGTTTTGGGTAGAGGGCCAATGCATGATGCGGCTTATCCTTGGTTATGTCGCTACCTGTTGTGTCAATCAACAGGATAGACTGATGAGGGACTCCATCCAACTAATAATCTTCGTTTGAGCTCATTGTGCTCATAAAAATCTTGAAAAGGTTCGGGCTATTAGATCTTTTTTTTTTCGAGTTACGGTCATTTTATTGAACTTGCAGCCTATTGTAGAATATCATGAGAAAGATTGCAATAAGCAGTTTTAGCCTGAAATTTTCTCGCACAAAAGCTCTCGTAGTTCTTATGATGTCCTGAAAGTTTCAGCTCTAAGGAGAATGTCCTTTCTGGTGTAACACGTTTGCAAAAAACATTACTTTCTCATAATAGTTTCACAAATAACCTACTTTTTAGGCAGTTGATGTCTTAAAAACGAAATCACCTGTTTCATCTAAAACTTTCAAGATACCATAATAAGTATGAGAGCACTTCTAAGGGAAAATTTCAGATCGAAACTCGTTGTTGTTATTTGTCTCGTGATATCCTGTAATAGACTGAAAGTTTAGTACAATAACCATAGCTCAAGAAGAGAGGTTTAATTAGGTAACCCTTTTAGGGTTTTTAGCTACATTATGAGCAAAATATGAGTCCAAACAGAGATTTTCAGTCGGATGGTTTCGTTCGTGAGACAAAAAAAAGTTGCTCGATGCTCTATTTTGCTAGGCACTTATACTAATATCAAAATTGATTGAGCATATATCGGTTTGACTGATTCATAAAAAGTTTTTTTTATCGTCTACTAATCAGTTATTCAACTAATGATAAAGTTCTACATTAATTCAATAGTCAAAATTCTAAATCAAAAACGTTTCAGTATGAAATGATTGACAACATTAGCCATCACATAAGATTCAGTATTGTATAAAGAGAAATGTTGGAAGCCTGAAAGGCATTTGATGATACCTTTTTAGGTCCGAATAAGTTAAATTTAGAGATCAACGAATAACAAATCGTGATTATTATGTGAAAATTTAACTTTTTAAAAATTCTATTCCTTTTATGAAAAACTAAACGCTCTCAAGTTCAATTATTATTTTTTTTGACGAGTATAGAACATCAGAACCTTTTTTTATTCTAAAACAAAACTCTTACCTTTTGGTTTTAATGGTTTCTCTGTAAGATTATTCGTATTAAACTCAGCATTAATCCGTGCTAAACGTTCAAGTTCATCATCATCAACATCATCAATTTGATTATTATTATCGATTAATTCGTCTTCTTTATCATTATTTTTACCATTAATATTATTTTTCATCGGATTATGATTATCATGATCACCATTACTAGTGACATTTGTGAGATTATCACCAACTTCCATATCATTATCATCATCTGAACCATTACTACCATGTTCTTCCATAACAACTTCAAATGAAGGATATTCATATGTATCAACATTATCAATAAATTGTACTCGAATATTCTAAATTTAATTTTAAAAAAATACTGAAAAAATATTAAATAAGAAAAACAACAACAACCTTTTTTGTTCCTGAAAAAATTGATGATTTATTTAATTTAACATTTCCACCAATGACATCAGGTGCGCGATGTAAATCAATCGATGTTGATGGTTCAGTTTTGATATTTATTTCACATAATGATAACGATGATGATGAAGATGATGATGATGATGATGATGGTGGTGGAGGTGGAAGTATTGTATCTGGTAATGATGATTTTGTATTTCCATTTAATTTATTACCACCAAAAAATGTAACAGCTTTAGCTGTATTAACAACTGATCGAGATATTGATATTGATAATGGATTAGGAATTATATCTATTTGTGTATCTTTTTTTTCTTCATTTACTAAATGTGTTGGGTGAAGAACGATTGGTTTTGTTAATAGATGTGATGATAATGAATTTGTTTGATTAACAGATTTTTTAATATTTATTGAATTTTCATTTATTCGTTGAGTATTTGTACGATTGAATAAAGCTAAACGGCTTTTAAAATCTAATGGTTGACAATCAACAGTTTCAGATAATAACTTCGATGGAAGTAAAAGATTTGGACGATGATTAGTTGATAGATTAGATGAACATTCATCAATAATAACACTTAGTGGAATATGTTCATGTGGTACTAAATTACGATTTGTATTTGATAATTTTTTTTCTTTAGTTACTCCTTGGCTATTAACTGTATGATTTTCGTTATGAATTTGTTCTGTAGAATTTTTATTTGTTTCTGTTGGTGGTGTATGAGATATAACAAGATCAGGATAAGATGTTGGAACTGGTAATGATAATGTTGTTGATGATAATGGTAATATAGGTCCAGCTATAGTTGTTCGTCGCTGTCGTATAGCCATATCATTCGGTGATACACTACGTGAACGTGTTGGACTTGAAATATCACGATGTTGACTATTCATACGAGAACTACTACTTGGTATTGATGTATTAATAAGTTTATCGGCATCATAACGACTTAAACGTATTTGTCGTTCAAACATATTTTTAACAGTTGTAACAGTACCTGATTTAAATAAAAACAACATCAGCATTCAAACCTTTAAAATAATATGTTGATTTTGTATGCATCATAAATGGTAACGTCTTTCGTAATGCAAAATTTTTGGTCTTTTGTTACTGTTCTATTGTCTGAATTAGTATCCTGTCTACGCAGTACGTTCTAGGATACAAAAGTTGGCTTTAAACATTAACAAAAACAAATTTAGATTGTTTCGAGTTTTTCTCAAACCAACTTTTTTCATGACAAAGAAGTTGAACATAGCATCTCGGAGGAACGGGGGTAAAGATTGTAATCCCAGTATCTTACAGAAGACAGTATCTAGAATGACAAGTTTTGCTTTACTCGTCAAGATCTACTTGCTCTGAAAACTTGGAATTTTTCTCATAAGTTGTTTCCAAGATATTACTTGAGGAGGAGAGCCTTAATGGAAATTCTAGTTAGAATCTAAGGAAGACACTTTATGAAAATTTTTTATTATTGAAAGCTTAAGAATATGTATAATTAGATGCAAGTCGCTGGAACAAACAGTTTCTGTGTAATTGTTATTTTACAATTAAATTAACGGGTTTTTAAATTAGTTTCTTGTTCAATAAAATCATTTAATAAAAAATTATTTTTCAGTATATTTATAAACCCTGCCGCGATTGATTTCAATTCAATCAATATTAGTGTATCTGATTGAGACTTGTTCGTTTTTGAAGTTTCTTCGTTTTGATACTCTTTTTTCTGATGTTGAAGATACTTGATTGCCAATTACTTTTCTCAGTCAATTTAATATAGTATTGACCACAAGTACTGATACCAGATAAAACTAACCAAAGTACCCCAAATTGAAATTGAAAGTTTGTTCGAAATTAGCGCATAACGAATCTTGATCTAAGACATCGATTAGCGTACCGTCGATAGTTAAATAACATAACAGTACGACAAATAGTAATTAGACCTTCTAACATTCCGAACTAAGCCGTTCAGTTATGTTTATTTGTGTACTATATTTTTAACCTTCCATTTCTCAAATATTTTATATAACATCGTCTGCCCAACTGAGTTATACATTTTCTTTTTGAGAAACATCTTTGATTGACTAATCAGTTTATATTAATAAATTCGTAAAAATTCAGACGAATTTCAATCATTCACTTTGATATTTGTTTTTCTCAGACCTATAGAAGCTTCATTTATTAAGAAAAGTTTAACTTTCATCTTGCTTCTAGTGTTTGGCTTTCAATTAGGTAGTACAAGCTGATATCAAGGATTAGAATTCCTTCACGATGGAAAATGTCTAAGCGTAAATCGTCAATGAATCTGATATTTTGTCCACGAATGGGATTTATAAGATTAGTAAACACCTAGAAGGCTTCATTCTCATGTAGTCTCCTTCTCGAGTTATTATAATTTTATTGAGTGTTCCATTTTTGACATAGTGATCATCAAAAACTCGAATGATGATATTTGGAACTGAAAATTCGCTCTTAGGCTCGGTCTTGTGATCATTAGAATGCTCTAAAAGTTTCATCCTAAAAGGTTGCATTCTTCTTGATGTATTGAATATCTAACAAAAGATCATGTAGCATAAGAAAACTTGAGAAAACTGCTTATCTACAATATTCGATATCTAATGAAGTCATTTTTTGGTGCTGAAAAATTAAAGGCATTCTAAGTAGCACAAGAGTCAGTCAATGGAGAATAGAACACATGGAGACGCATCCTTCTTAACTACTGCTAGTCTTATGATGAGTAGAATCTCATTTTGATCAACGATTTACTCTCGGATACTATTCCTTATAAGTTCTATTTTAACTATCGGACATGATATGTTGGTTAGTTTGATTTTCTATACTACTTTTAGTCAGTAGTATATGCATGATTGCCTTCCAATACATATTTCATTTAAATTTATAATGACAAAACCAATAATCATATTCTGTTCTTTTGGGAATTACACTGAAAATGAAAACAAAATGGTTTCGATTCTCAAAAATAATTGAAAAACTTTTATAGGTTTCGTACACGAGTACGAAATTCTTTGGAAGACTATCATCGATCTAGGAAACGTCTTTACAGGTTTCGTACAATCTCTTTTTAGGTTTCATTGCATGCACGAAACTCTTTTTTTCGAATTCTGTATGGTACCATATTTTTCTTTTCGAGTATACGACATACCAGGTTTTGGTGCTTCATCAACATGTAATTCAGTATATGATTGCCGATGTGGTAATGCTTTCTGTCCTGCACGTAATTTTCCATCATCATTATTATCATCATAATGATTACTATTCGTTGTTGTATCTACAATAATTACATCTTGTTTTGGTTGTATATATGAAGTAAATTGTTCTGTTGTTATTATTGGACCAGATATTTGATTTATTGAATTATGATTATTATTTGTTAAATTATCTTGACTACGCGATAAACGTGTTGTCCGTTTTAATGGTGATACAGATGTTTTTGTTTGAAGTAAATTTTCATTTGATGCTATACGTGTTGATTGTTTTAATAATGAATGACGTACTATTGTTGAATTATTATTTAATACATAAGATTCATTTACTTTATTAAGTAAACGTTGTTTCATTGAATTAACAACACCAAATGGTACATGATCACTATCTTGATCATGTTCATTTAATGTATTTGTTGTTAAACGATTCTGTTGTATTTGAGATATATTTCCATTAATACGACGATTTGTATTATTAGAAAAATAAGAAGAATTATGATGATGATTGTTATTTGTTAGTGATGGTACAAGGACAGACATGATTGATGAAGCAAAATTCTACACATATAAAATCTAAAAAAGAAAAAAATAACAAAAAATACATATTTATGAAATATGATATATTGATTGTAGAATTAAGAAAGAAAAAGAAAATATTTTATTTCGATATAATTTCATTTCGAAGACGTTCAATTAAATCGTTTTGATTTTCATTTGTTGTTGTTATTATACGTAAAATTTTATCACGTTGTTTATGTCCATGTATAATTTCTAATTGATTTGAAGGAATTTTTAATATACTTCTAATATAATTAATTAATTCATGATTTGCTTTACCATCTTGTGCATCAGCTGCTATATCAATACGTATATTATTATTAGAATTTATTTCACGTATGGCATTATTTTTTGCATTTGGACGTACATGAATATTTAGTATAAGATTAGTTGTTGTATTAACAATTGTTTTTTTCGACATCTAAAAATAAAAAATGAAAGTAAAAGGAAAATAAATTAATGATCTATAAAGGCAAAAGTGAATGTCCTTTCTTTTTCTTTTTTTCTTTACTTAAACTTGACAAATATACTATAGTTAATCCGAGCAATCATTATCAACAACATCATTGAAAGTATCCCACTCTTTTTTCGTTCAAGTAAACAATTTGAAACTCGTTAAACATGCACAAATGTACACATATATACGCTTACTCACTAAACAATTATATACGTACGCCTTTAGATTCATTTTTTTTCAATTTGATTGCGACATCATTATGCTTTTCTTTTTCAATTATAAATATACATACATCTTTTCAAGTTGTAGTAGAATACTTAAATTGCATGCAAGAAAAAGAAATAAAAGACGCAAGAACATGACATTATTGTTTCAGAGAAAAGAAAATCCATTTCCACTTGACAATGAATGGTGTGATGAAAAGAAAGAAGAAGAAGAAGAATATAAAAAAAGCATAGTAAGACCTACACGTCACTCACTGCCGCTATTATACTGGTCATGTCACTGGTCTAAACAATTCACAGTAGTAGACAAAACTACGTGTGCATATACATTCGCGTATTTGTCTATGTACATATGTGTGCCTTTCGCTTTTTCGTATATATAGACTGTCGTCAAACACAACAATCTGAATCGGAATAAAATGTCTCGTTTATGCATATTTTTTTTTCTTCGCTCTCTCCCTCTTTTGATTGTCTACACATTAACGATACAATAAATTTCTCTCCCAATTACAATAATATACTTATTTTAACATCAGTTATAAAAAGAGAACGAATATGAAAGTAATCAGACTAAAAAAGAAGTAGTTAATGAAGTTAATAATTTCCCCCTGTATATGAATAATAGAAGTGTCATAAAGCAAAAAAGAATAAATCCTATATTAAGAATTTAACTGATTTTACATTCAATATTATCTTGAGGTTTTTGAGATTCAAGATAGACAATCGCACTATTATTTGATGATGTATTTTTATGTTTATTATTCAATTGATTTTCTATTATCGATGAATGACTAGTTGAATTTGATGATTGTATTTTGGGTTTATTCTTATTATATAATTCATTCAATAATGAAGATGATGACGTATGACTATTGTTAACAAGTGATGAAGATGAAAGAGAATGACGATGACGATGATGATGATGATGATGAAATGTTGATTTTTGTTGTTTAGATCGAATATTTTTTTCTAAATCAACATTAGCCATTTGATTAGAATAAATATTCGATGAATTTATATGATTTCGTGCATATATATGACGTGCATCATTAGTCCATTTTTGTATAAATTCATTACGATATTGTTTTATTTTACGACGATTTGATGGAATATCGTCTGGAATATTTTCAATTGATGATGAGACAATTTTTTTTAAATGTCGTGAAATATTTGATTTAATTGATGTATAATGACGATTCATAGGTTTGAATATATTTGAATCATTTCTATTATTATTGATTTCAATTGAATTACTATGAAAAACAAAAATTTTCATAATAGAATAGAATCTATATGAAGAATTTATTTAAAATGAGAAAAAGAGGAAAATAATCAAATGTAAAATATTGAATTATTTCTAGTCTCGTGAACAATAATTACTGTTGGTTTTCAAAATTTTTATTATAGGCCTCTTTCTTTTACTTATGATGAGATGAAGTGTGAATGATGTAGTAAGTGAAGAAAAAAACATGTTTTAAGGCAATCATTAAGTTAAAATTAGATATGTACTTCAAGAGCTGTCGATGTATGACATTAGAGCATGTAATAATCACTCAGGCGAAAGTCAACCTTTGATTGGGTCAACAAAAAATCTTTTATCACATTGTTTATCGTGAATATTTCCTATACTGAATTATTATGAAACATAACACTTAAGAATTTACTGATGAAGTGCAAAACAAATTGCTGTTGGCATGAAAAAAAACATTTTCTTAATGTATGTATAGCTTTTTTTTCGACAAGTTACTGTGGGGAGACCGTTTCGAATGTCAACAAAATACTTATAATCGAAGATTGCATGTTATCAAAAAAAAACAAAGCAAAAATGCAACATCATTCAAATACGGCGGATTGAATTAATCGTTTGAAAGTATCAAAATGAGGATTAGTGCGTAGCGCTATTGAATTTTGCATGCAATAAAACATTTCTGTTTGTAACAGTAGAGAAGTAGAAGTAATAATCTTTTATGCTTTGATAAATCAGAGAGATTTTTTTGCATAAAAGACGATATAAAATGAATTTACAAGAGCGAGCGTATATTCTTTATTTGACAAAGTACTTCTGTGCTGTAATATGTCAATAAAAATGTTTTGATATTTATTGCTTTCAATAAAAGCAAAAAAATTTTTCAACTAAATCTCTAAAAATTAAAATAAATAATTTTGTTTTATGTATTCGAAATAATACCCAACTAATTAAGATTGGAATCAATCGAAATTGGACATGGATAATGTCTATAGAAACACTTTAAACGACGTCCAGGTAAATGGGAGAGGCTGTGTCAAAACTGGACAGAGGGGAAGGTCAAACATTTCAAGATGTCTAGACAAATTTTTTATTCAACGTGAGGGCGGCTCCTCTCTGAAGATAGAGTTGATCCTGCTGAAGTTTGTGGCTGTTGTACTACGCATTATGTGTGTGTGCTCTCAAAAATACATGTTCGTCCTCTTGAAATTTAAAATTGCCCTTTAGAAAAAGAAAATCTGTATAAAACATGGTATACAGATGCTTACATGAATGTTTTTCTTTTTCTTACGCGACTTCCGTCGAAATTTTCAAGCTTCGTTTGTGTTAAAGAGTATATTCAAATAGGAATGAATCAAATGAATATGCATATGGTGTTGAAATAATTGAACTGTTTATGGACTGCTCCTATGGGATGAGTACTATGTGTTTGTAAGGAAGAGGTTCGAATTTCTGACATCCTTAAGTACAAAACGAAAATAATCACTGATCACAACGATATATAGGTACGGGGGCGCCATGAGAATAGGTCACATGCTTCACAAAAGCAGGATTCTTATTTCACTTTTCACAAACTTCACTTTGCAGATTTCTGATTAACTTACATATCTGTATCATACAAGAATAAGAATGACATGTGAAAAATGAAGATTTATGCCTTGGAATGCACTCATAGAGAATTTTACTGGTCAACGTTAATTGAATGTTGACATTCACATTTTAAATTTATCAAAATATGACGAAAAGACGACAATTGTGCAGCAAACAGAAGCTTCAAAATAAGGAAAAATTGTAGAGAATTATGGGAATTTTTTAAAACAACTACTACGGACTCTCGTGCAAGAAATAATTAAACATTCCTATTTAAATTCATATCTAATGTTTTTTGTCCTTGAAATAAATCGTTAGTTATTTTGGTGGACCTCTCTAAATTATCTCTCTATAATGCTATGAAAATTCTTTTGTGGATTTGAGTTTTCAGCATTGCGACCAATTGTTGTAGATCCAGTAGAAACTTATTAAAGAAAAATAAGTGAAACAAAAATCCTGATAATAATATTTTTTTTTTGTATCTACATTTTACTCTATGAAATGATGCAATGAGATTAAATAAATCTTCAAACCTTTCTTTGAAACTTTTATCCGATGGAATTAATTGTGGTGTATCACTTTGAATAGAATTTTTTTCGTGATTTGATATTTTATTGTGTCGACTAGCAGCTGCAATCAATGCTGTCATATCCTGTCGTCGACGTTGTTGTGATGTACGATTCGTATTTTTTCCATTAAATAAAACATCATTTGTAGGATTTCTTGTTATTGGTGAATTTGATTGTTGTTGTTGATTAGGTGTAGAAGAATTTGATTCTTTTATTGGTGTATTATTTTGATCTTGTAAAACTTTTTGTTGTTCAGCTGCAGCAATTTTTTCATCAATTTCAGCTTTTTGTGCTAAACGTTCCTATTCATAAACAAAAAAAAAAAAAACAAAATATGAAACATTTGTTTTTATTAAATAAATATATCATTTACTAATCGATTAAGAACAATTGATAATACTGTCATAACATCTGTAATTGGTGCAGCAAATAGAACTGTATCTTTCATTGTACTAGCACATTCCAAACTACATATAAGTAATTTTAAATCATGTTCTAATTGTGAAAAGATAATTGATATTTCACGAAAATCTCGAAGATCACGACGTGCTATCATTTTATCAGATCGAACAGCTTCATCAAAATCTTGAATTTTTCTTTGTAATTTATGAAATTTAACTTTGGTTTTTGGTTCAAGTACAAGTGGAGCATTTGGATAACGAAGTCGACAAACACGTAATTCATTAAGCGTTGCACGTGCACGAAGACACGCATTACGTAATAATTTATTAAACATCATTAAATCAAAATTAAGTGAAAAACGAAGACTACATTCCGGTAAACAAGCATCATCACTAATTAAACCTATTTTTTGATTACGTATCGCTAATAATTTTTGTACACGTAATGCATCCATTATATTTAAACCAAAGTCTAATAATTTTAATGTTGCTTCA